CCCTTTTGCTCTCTCCCCCTGCCTCCCTCCCTCTCCACTGAATTCACACCAACTTTGTTATTCATAATACCAAAACTTTGCCTTTTTGATCTCTTCCTAGTTCCTTTTAGCAAAACTTAAACCAAGTTTGCTTCAGCTTTAGATTTGGTTTGGTGACCAAAACAACAAACTGTAGTTGGTCACCATCTCTCTCTCTCTCTCTCTCTCTCTCTCTCTCAGAGGCACAGACAGAGACTCTTTTTCTACCATGAACTTGTAAACCCCAACATGCTCAGCCTCAGCAACAAGTTCAAGCAATCATGAGCTCCAGCGCCCAAAAACTCCATTTCTGTTGGAGGGTCACTTCCATTTTTGTTCTGCTACTTAGCTCAACTTTGGCTCTAAACTCAGATGGGGTTCTCTTGCTTTCTTTCAAATACTCAATCCTCAGCGACCCTCTCTCTGTCCTTGAAAGCTGGAACTACAATGATGAAACGCCATGCTCTTGGAATGGAGTGACATGTACACAAATGGGAAACCCAGGAACACCAGACATGTTCAGAGTCACCAGCTTGGTCCTCCCCAACAGCCAGCTTCTGGGTTCGATTGCATCAGAATTGGGTTCGATCGAACACCTTCACAGCCTTGATCTTTCCAACAATTTCTTCAATGGTTCCCTGCCTTTGACCCTCTTCAATGCCTCAGAGCTTCAGGTGCTTTCTCTCTCTAACAATGTCATCTCTGGTGACTTGCCTGATGAGTTGGTTTCAGGTCTCAAAAGCCTCCAGTTTCTCAATGTTTCTGATAATGCTTTGGCTGGCAAAGTCCCTGAAAATCTCACTACTTTGCAAAACCTCACGGTTGTCTCTCTGAGAAGTAATTACTTTTCTGGTAATCTCCCAACTGGGTTCAATTCAGTTGAGGTTTTAGATCTGTCTTCAAATCTGCTCAATGGGACTCTGCCTCTGGATTTTGGTGGAGACAACTTGCGCTATTTGAACCTCTCCTACAACAAAATCTCAGGAAAAATACCAGTTGATTTTGTAAAGAGGGTTTCAGAGAACTCAACCATTGATCTCTCCTTCAACAATTTGAGTGGACCAATTCCAGACTCACAAGCTCTGCTCAACCAGAAAACAGAGCAGCTTGCAGGAAACAGTGAACTTTGTGGCAAGCCATTGAAGAGCCTTTGTCCAATTCCTTCTACTCTCTCCACACCACCCAACACTTCTTCTTCTTCTCCAGCCATTGCAGCCATTCCAAGAACATTTGACACAACCCCAGTATCAAGCACACCTGGTGGACCAAATGGTACTCAGAACCAGCCACAGAGTGGCCTCAAACCCAGCACCATCGCCGCCATTGCTGTCGGAGACTTGGCCGGAATAGCCATCCTTGGATTGGTCATTCTCTATGTCTACCAAGTCAGGAAGAGAAAACTTCTCAACACAACAAGCAGCAGTGCCACAGAGCTAGAAAAGAAACCAGAAATCTTCTCAAAAGAAGACATAGACCAGAAAGGTTTGCAATTTAGTTCATTTCTTTCAAAATTTTCCATGTAATTTCTCTTGATATTTATATTCTGTAATCTGTATCTAATACTTTTGCCCAAATGCAGTAAAATCTGTTGCATGGTCATGCATGACAATCAAAGGGGAAGAGACATCAACAAGCTCAGACAGTGACCAAGATGACAAAAATGGGCAAGTGGGTGGTGGTGCGCAGAGTAAAAAAGGGGAGCAGTCTCAGAAAGGCGGTGTCTTGGTGACCATAGATGGGGATCGAGCAGAGCTTGAGCTTGAGACATTGCTCAAAGCATCAGCTTATGTATTGGGAGCCAGTGGCCCAAGCATTGTGTACAAGGCCGTGCTTGAAGACAAGACTGAGCTTGCTGTGAGGAGAATTGGAGAGAGTGGGGTGGTGATGATGAGAGATTTTGAGAGCCAAGTGAGGGCCATTGCCAAGCTCAAACACCCCAATTTGGTCAGGGTTCGTGGGTTTTACTGGGGGGACGATGAGAAGCTCGTGATCTATGACTATGTCTCCAATGGCAGCCTTGCAAGCACCACCAACAGTAAGCTCCCTCTCTCTCTCTCTGTTTTTTGGCTTACGTTAGTGAAATTATGTGTTTTGTGCTACATTGCGCTGTTTCTCATCCTTGTTTTTTTAATTAGAACTAACTAGAATCATACTTCCATCTAATTTTTTTTACACCAATTATTATTCTTTTGAACAAGTTTAGTTTCACACAGTTTTATATGGAATTGTGAACTACCAATTATTATAGCAGTATTTTTTTTGGTACTTCCAGCATGCAAGTTGTCTTCCAGATTTAATTAAAAATTAACCCAACAACTTTATTTGTTTATTTAAAAACAATTTTGTTTCTTTATAAATGCATTGTCATAATTCTTTCTTTATTTATTTCTTGGGTGTCTGGAATTCAGAGGTCCTGTTTTGCAGTCTGTTTTTTTTCATAAATTTGATAATCTGTTTTGTAAACCCAATGGCCCATTCTCTAGCTTTATCACCTGACCTTTGATTAAAATAAAAGCTTTGTATCAGCCCATGACATTAGTTTTATTTCTTTGATTACCGCACACTCTGTCATCTGTTAATGATTCACAAGTGCCAAATTAGTGAGAAGATTCATAACTGCCCGTGAACCATGATAAAAGATACATGGAAATCTTTTTTCTGGCCCAAATAGTCGAAAACTATTGGATTGGAACCCAGAGAATCCCTGCACCGAATCGGTTGAGTTGACAAGTTCTCTGCCTCTGCAGGATATAGCGGTGCTTGCTTGGAAAAAGTTAAAACAAACTTGGGCCTACTCGTTTTGCATTATTTGTTTTGTTTGATTCTTAATAAACATAGTAGTTAACTTTAACGAAACCATTAATCGCATCTCTTACGGTCACACTGAAAAATTTCTCGTACCTCTGTGGTCCAGGGTTGCATTCGTGCTCGTACTTTGGGATATACATGTTTAGGAATATACTGCCTCGTACATTTGTTACATTAGTGTCATCTATCTGAAATATGTTTGGAATTTTGTAGGAAGAGCAGGGTCGTCACCATGTAATCTACCTCTTGAAACTCGGCTGAGGATAGCAAGAGGGGTTGCTAGGGGGCTGGCTTACATCCATGAGAAGAAACATGTGCATGGGAATATCAAACCAAGCAACATTCTTTTGAATTCTGATATGGAGCCCATAATTAGTGATTTTGGCCTTGATAAGCTGGTATTAGGAAACATGGGTAGTCACAAAGCTAGCGGTTCTTCCAGGGGTTACTTTGGAAGCCTAAAATCAACCGCCACTCGAGAAGGAATGCATGATGTGCTCCCAATTGGTGGCAGCCCTGCCGCCGCTATGTCATCCTCCGGTGGTGCATCGTCGCCTTATCAAGCGCCAGAGTGCCTAAAGAACTTGAAGCCAAACCCTAAGTGGGATGTGTACTCTTTTGGTGTAGTCTTGCTTGAGATTCTCACGGGAAGGATACTTTCGGAACGAGAATTAGTGGCACAATGGACCCCCGGTTCGTTGACTGAAGAGAAAATTCGGGCTTTAATCATGGTTGACGTGGCGATTAGGACTGAGGTGGGGGGCAGGGAAGATGCCTTGCTGGCTTGTTTGAAATTAGGGTTTAATTGTGCTAGTTTTGCTCCGCAAAAGAGACCGACCATGAAAGAAGCCCTCCAAGTCCTAGACAAAAGTACTAGTCCTCCTTCCACTCCTTCAAACTAATGATGTATTGAGGTCCCACTAAAGTTGCTTTGTTGTGTTAAAGCATTTTCTTTTTCTTGTTTTGTTGACTTGAATGTTGCATAAAAAGCCTAAATGTCGATATAGCTTAGTAATAATTTTATGGGAGAAAGCCGTTGTATTGTATGTATGTTTTGCGGATTAGTAAGAATTGATATATGAATTGTAATAAGATTGTGTTGGTGGCGATTGGCATGGAGGGCAATTACAATTATGTTATTTTGTCGGCTTATGTTTCTATGACTGTGAATCTGAACGACATGTTAATTGACTCTTTCATCAATGCATGGACTAAGTTTCATAATTTAGCAACATGCATTTGTCTAACAAGAGAAAATTGCTCTGTTAAGTGCAGTTATCCCCTACCCGTAAGGTCATATGTTCCAATCCCTCTCTTTCAATATCGCTTTAAAAAAAAAAAAAAAAAGTCACATTGGGCCAAATATGAGCTAAAGCCCAATAATTGTAGTCTATAACTTTCACTTAGATCAGCCCAACCCAGGTTTAATTTTTGCGCCACAAAATCAAATTTCCCACCAAAAAAGCAAACATTTCAATTCAACCGTATATTTTTCCCACCAAAAAAATTAAAAAAAGAAAAATTTCAATCGTCTTTTCCCACCAAAAAGCAAAACTTAAGTGATATTTTCCAAAATCAAATTATAGACGAGATTATTATCCCCTCTCTCTCTGCTCAACTCAAATCCCATTTTCTTTTGAACTCCATGGATCGTCGAAAATCGTTGCAAATGCTTATGTTCGACTCCGATTCTGATGATGTCTGGCACGCAAACGTTACGAAGGCGGTGATCGCACACGTGACACTCTTAAAAGCTTGTCACGACGCCAACAGGAGAAGTGCCCGGAAACGACGCCGTCTCAATCGGAGGCCCCTCGCTGCCGTTGGGCCCACGAGCACCGGATACGACTCATGCGTAATCAGCGACGCCGGTACCTCATTCAAGGCAAAGAACAAGAACGGGAAAAAGAAGAAGTCTCTATCCCCGCAACCAAACAACCCCCAACCAAGGAATCGCTGGGCATTTTAGGTATTTACTAATTTCTGTGATGGTTTTTGACAGGTGGGTATTGGGTATGGGAATGACGAGGGGCACATGGAGAAAGTGAGGGGGGTCCAATTAGGAATGAAGCTCCCAAACGTTATGTGTGTGGATCCAAAGGGATTGGAGCTCGAAGATGATCGTCTAAATCTAATTCCCATCCTGCCCTTTAAATCGACCCTATTTTGAAGCTATCTCTGGAGACTTGGCCCAAAGGCAATTCTGGGAATTTATGGGTGTCCAGAGGCTTTTTTTGGGTGTGCATAGAAATCACCCTTACGTATGTTGTTTCTAATTCTGTATGATTCTGATGTTGCCAACCCTTGTGAACTGCATAGGCAAGGCCATGCTCTGATTTTCCATAGAGAGAGAGAGAGAGAGAGAGAGAGAGAGTGAGTGAGTGATGGTAATTTGTCAATTTCAGTCTGATTCATTTTGCCACTAAATCAATATTATTTTTCAAAATCAATTTTATAAATAAGTTAAACCCTCTCCATTTCACCATACGATTTTCCAAAAAAACAATTGAGATATGGAGGATTTTTCTTCTTCTTCTTCTTCTGATGATGATTTTATGTTGTTTGTCTTCCCAATATTGCTACTTGCAGCGAGGGAGGAAGAACTCGCCAACAATGGGAGGCGGAAACGACGCCGTCTCGCTCGCGGGGTCTTTACGCGACACTGGGCCCACTGACACCGGGTCTCCCAGTCCTTCTTTAATCAGCGATGCTCGTACCCCAATTAAACCAAACAAGATAAAAAACCAACCCCCGTATCCCCGCAACCAAACACCCACGCCCACCCACCCAAAATGGAATCTCAATTGCTCCAACCCAAACAGATCTTCATCTTATCGGGCCAGAGCAACATGGCCGGCCGCGGCGGCGTTTTCAGAGACCACCATCACCACCAACATTGGGACCGCGTCGTTCCGAACGAGTGCGGCCCCCATCCATCCATCCACCGCCTCAGCGCGCATCTCCGGTGGGAGCCCGCGCCCGAGCC